TGGTCAATTAGAGCCCCATAAAAGACCAAAACCCATCTTAGTTATTTTCCTCATCACTGGGATTCAGTGCAACATCAACAAATTAGAGGGGGAGAGGTAGATTTTAGCTTATGCTCTGCTGGCTCCAAAAACAACATGGAAGAGGGGGAGTTAGAGGGGACATGTGCTCTTTCTCTGGTGGCAGCCAAAAGCAGAAAAGGAAAGAGTCAGGGAGGGACTGACTATGTCCCATCTTTTAAGAGCAAGTCAGTTATACTGCTCCCATAATTCAATAATGTCCCCAAAGCCCCATGTACAAGCACATGAGGTTTTGGGGAAATGTCTATCTGTCTGTTTATCTATCTATAGAAAGAGAGAAACATGGAGAGAAACAGAGATACAGAGATAAAGATTTGGGGGTAAGTAATTATTTGGAAAGAGATCTCAGAAAGCAGTAGATGAATAGGGGAAGTGAAAGAGAAAAATGAGAGAAGAAGAATAGCCAGTGGTTATGGTTTGTGTCTGAATGTCTCCTTAAATCCTCAAGCAGCCAAATCTAGAGTTTGTGATTGATTTATTGTCTAGTGCTGGGATTGGTGGTATCAGTGCTACCCAAGGTGGGTAGCCTACAAAAAATATAAGGGAGGAAAAGAGGCCTACTCCTCTCCTTGGTTGCTGCTTTTGCTATCCACCACCGCCTTGACCTATCCTCTGCTCTGTGCCATCCTGCCTTGGAGCCAGCTGATTATGGACTGAAACCTCCACTAAACGTCAGCTAAATAAATCTTTCCACCTTTAACTTTTGAGTGTTGAGTATTTTCTCTCAGCAATGAGACAAGTAAATAAGACACCAATAAAGATACTACCATAGATAACCAGAGTTTAATTCTGGTAGATCTGGTTGCCAGCATAGGCTATGACTTTAGATTTATTCCAAGAGAGAAAAAAGAATGACTTCTACCAATCGTTGATTAAGAGCTACTCCTAAGGAATAATAATGCTCCTATACCTGTGGTCTGCTCTTTGCATAGTCAGAGTATGCTCCAGAGTCCAGGGAAAGTACTTTGGTAAAGAGTTAAAGGGGCCTATAGTTGGGAGATGCAGTTGGCACACACTGATGGACAGAGATGTGGTCAGGAGCCTGGAAGCCTCTGATCTAACCCACAATTTAGAAGTAAGAGTCACTCTTGAAATCAAATTTTGGAATTTTTATATAACTTCAGGAATGAGCTAGGTGGATAAGCAATCCTTAATAACTCAAGTAAATTTTTTGAAAAATATGTCTTCCAAATTCATCATTTATTTTGGAATGTATATTGTAGATATAATCTTTTATTTGTAGCTATTGTGATTGCTGGTATTTTCTTGTTATTCTTACTATTAAATTCCTCAGAATTCCTGGGAGGGGGCCCTTGTTTGCATCTTACCATGCATTGGTTTTGGGTATTCCTTTTAGCTATTTTTATAAAAACATTTTACTATGGAAAATTTCAGATATACATGGCTTAGGATTCCTGGTACCCATAATTCAGTTTAAATATTTCTCAACTCACGATCAATCTGATTTTATTTATATTAGCTACTATTGGATCATTGAAAAGCAAATCGTAAACAGTATGATTTAGTCATAAGTAATTTGGTGTATATCTATCTATATCTGTAAAACAGCTTTCAATAACTGTGTCATAATACCTTAAATATGACTTGAAGGAGTGAAACTTTATTACGGCTCACAGGCTCAGAGGCTTCCATCAGGTTGCCTGACTCCATTGCTTTTAAGCCTATGGCTAGGTGAAACCGTAGTAGTGCAAAAGCATGTTGGAAGGCGGTTACTCAACTCCTGGCAGCCAAGGAGCAGAGAGAAGAAAAAGAGGAGGGACAAGACAAGACAGACTCCAAGAACACTGTCCTAAGAACCCACCTCTTCCAGCTCCTCTCCTGTGATTCCACAACCTGCCCGTGAGGCCATCAGATTACAAATCTAAACAGTGCTGAATTCTGAACAGTGATGTCTTGGAAACAGCTTTCAGAACATGAGTTTTAGGGGACACTCCAAATCCAAACCATGGAAATCTCTAAAATATTGCATCTTTAAAATAAACAAAATGTCATCAATATATAAAAATTTAATAATCACTTGTATTACCAAAACACTATTCACATTTTTAAATCTCATGAATTCTGTATAAGCAGTAGTATTTTATATATTTCTCAAACATCTCTAAGAGTTCTGCATACATCTCTTATTTTCCTTGAAATATGTTTGATTAAAAAATAAAAGTTAGGTTATTTGCCTTATGGAATTTCCTACATATGATAATTTATACATTCAATTACTGTATTGTCAGCATGTTTATCTCTATTCTGTACTTTATGAATTGGAAAATTGGTAGTAATATTGACAGAGTTGATGGTATAGGTTTGATTTTTCTTTTTGAACACAAGTACTTCATAGATAGTAGTGTTCTTTCAGTAAGAGGCATATAAGGTTTATGTCTCCATTTTGATGTTGAAAATTAGTTTTAGAATTACTAATTCATTAGAAGTTCAAAATGGCTTTACTCTAATTCTCCTGTTGTTCTTTATTAGCTATAATACTTCCAGAAAGAAAACATTACTAGTATTAAATTACCCAGTAGTATAGTCTGCATAAGGATTTGTACTTTTTTACCTTTGATTTTGAAGACCCAGAAATTTTAAAAGGTGTTTCAGCAGTATCCATCTCTATGCTCAGGTTTTTAGAAGGCTTTACTAAGTGAAATTAATTACAATAACTCTATTCCTACCAGGTAAATATATATATTAATTTTTGAGAGAAAAGAGCAGAATTTCAGAACAAGATACCAGGAGAGTAACAATGCTCAATACATTGCACATCGCCATCCTTAAATTAGTTACTCAGAGTCCAAGATATAGGCATTTAATTGCCCAAACATTAGCACCAATCCTTCTCCTCAATGATCCAAGAGAAGTTAGCAGTACAACTATCTTAATTGTCTTAAGTGTGTGTGTGTGTGTTTGTATATAATTTTTTTGCTTTTCCTTTCCTTCTTTCTCCTCACCCCAGTTTCTCCTTCTTTTTGAACAAGTTCTTCCCATTTCACAATATCTATTGTGCATTTGTATCTTATTTATTATTTCAACTTCTCACACTAGGGAAACAATACAATGTTTACACATGTGTGATTTATTTCACTTATAAGTAAGGCCTTGAGTTGCATCCATTTACCTACAGTCTCCAGTTTATCCTTCTTTATGGCTGAGTATACTCCACTATATTAAAAAAAAAAACCACATCTTTTTTTATCTGTTCCTCAATTGATGGGCATTTGGGTTGTTTCCAGTATTTAGTGATTATAAGTTGTGCTGCTATAAACGTGAGTGCACATATGTCGCTGTGGTATGATGTTTTTAATTCTACTGGGAAGATCTTCAGAAAGGCAATAGCTGGGTCAAATGGGACCACTAGTCCTAGTTTTCTGAGGAATCTCCACACTGATTTCCACAATGTTTGTGCCAGTCTACGCTCCTCCAACAGTGGCAAAGGGTTCCTTTTTCCTTACAGTTCTTCCTGCATTTATTATTGGTTGATTTCTTGATAGTAGCCATTCTTATCAAGGTGAGATGGAATGTCAGTGTTGTTTTAATTTCCATCTCTTGATTGACCAGTGATGTTAAACATTCTTTCATATATATATTTGCTGTCTGTATTTATTCACCTGAGAACTGTGTATTCATCTCAAATGCCCATTTTTGGATTGGGTCTTTAAATTTGGGAAGTCACATTTTTTTTATGTCCTTGTATGGTCTCAATAGCAATCCTTTGAGGAACATCTGGAAAGCATTATGTTTTAAACCACTTAAATAATTGTATATTTATTAAAAGTAATTTAAATTTTTAAATAATCGGTCACTTAAAATTTCACTCAGAAATAAGGCTACTTTGTTGAACAGGCAAGGCTAAAGGAAGTGACACTTATGACATTGGGGATTATGATGACAATTGCAGTCTTAGAGAGCCTTCAGCCTCTGATTTATTTCTGTGGATTTTTTTGTTGGATTAGTTCAAAAATAAAGTCCTGTTTCAAGCAGATAAGTAGTTATAAATAGAAGCAATTTTTTTAAAGAACTCACCTTGAAATTTTAGGACTCTGAAATTAAACCAGTCCTGATTCTTAAAAGAGAAATAGAAATTTTTTATTTTACTTGTATCTAAAAACAGCTCTCATCAACAAAATATAGCAATCAGATTAGAAGCTCCAACAATGTGGGATGAGGGATAAACGTCTCTAGTATGTCTTAACACTTCGAGCAGTGATGGTGACATTGATGATTGTGCTTGAGGAGCAGCACTGAGCAGAGGGCTTTCCCTCTGCAGTTTCACAGGACTGGATGTGAGTGAGCTTGCACTGTAAAGAAAGAGGTGCCCAGTGTTCAAATATGTGTGCACACGCACACTCTAGTTGAAGCTGTATTCTTAAGTCCAAGCAGAAGCAAAGGAAGCGAATAAGGTTAAAGTTAGTGTAGCTCAGTGTTATATTTGATGAAAGATTAGATTAAAAAAGAATCTGAAAGTTGGGAATTATGAAAACACTCCTGAAAATCTCTTAATTTGCCCGTAAAATGGTGATTGGTGGTCTTGGATACAAATCCCTCTATGATATACACTTAATGCCACTGAAGTGTGAACATGGCTGAATCAGAATAAGAGAAACAATATACTTAGGTGTGTGGACTCTTGCATTTGGAATAATTTTATCAAACCCTTGCAGACTAAAGTGGGTGAACAATTCTAAGATGCTGCCTGCTTTCAGCATTTAACTTCTGTGGAAAAACTTTATGGATTGTTGTGTGAGCTAAGTGAACTAAACAACGTGAGTACCTGCAGCAGAAGATCAGGAATAGAAAGTGCTCAACATTTACCTATTTGAAAATAACTTAAATGCATACACATGATTTTATGTAAGAAAATCTGATCATTTGCCCTGTATAAGGTGGCTCTTTGCTTATTGACTCCACAGATTACCCAGGCCCCTAGACACTGATTAAGCAAAAATTCACTAAACTACCACCAGAATGAGCCACATACTGTCACACCTGCAGCTCTCCTGAGGCTCTTCAATGTCATACAGCACACAGCCACATGTCTTCTGAATTAAAGGTAGGCATTCTAATTCCAACCTTGTGAGTACCCGTTAGTTTCAAAATGTGAAACAATTTGTCTGTTTATTTTCTCATTGTCGGTAAAGGTTTTTTGCCTGACTAGTTTGTTCTGTTTTTAAGTATTCATTTTGCTTTTCTTGCTAATGATTTTTTCCTTATCCTTCACGTAGCTTCTGCTTAAGGATCCTACTGACATCCTTACTGAGCATTATCTCCAACTCTGCGGAACTGAGATATATCTGATTAAACCACAATTTGAGTTGGGATTTATGAGATTTTCTTGCTACTTCTTGTATTATTTCAGAGACCGTTCTAATGAAATTTTGAATGATTCAAGCTGGAAAATTTTTTCAAGATTATTACATCTTCCATATTTATCCTTCCTTTCTCTTTGAAGTTGGAAGTCAGACACTGGGATGCTTGTATTTTCTTGTTCCCAAACTTTTTTTTTTTTTTTTTTTTTTTTTCAAAATGGAAGTAGAATTCTCTTGAGGACAACCATCCTTCCATGTTTTATAAAATAACATTTTATTAATGAGATCATTTTGACTGTCTAATGAGGTGAAGAAAAAAATGGAGAAGGGAATGAAGTATTTGAGGCCAGAGAGTGAGTTTATTTTCCTAAAACTTACGAATACGACAAAGATTTGTGGATCCCACAGTCATTAGGATTCGAAATCTCTCTAAGTAGCAACTTCTAGGAACTTTGGACTCTAAACATCATGGTTTCAATGTTAGCAAAGACTCAGAATATCCAGTGGGAGAAGAACAGATATCCATTAGACTGGAAAATACCACATATAGAGTAGTAATCAATGTGTCACCAGAAATCACTATGGATCCATAATTTCAGGAGCATCCCAGATACTTGTGCAGAGCCCTAAGACTTTAGACAGCTCTGATGAGGAAACGCATCACAGAAATGTCTTGGATTTAATTCCTCTCTATTCCTTCCAAACAGAGGCCAGGGGATAGGTTGTAAAAAAAATAAATAAATGTGACACACATGTATATTGAGCATGAATGCCAAGATGCACACTCTCTGTAATTCCACCCCCCTCCTCAAGTAATAGTAAACAGAGAGTTTTTAAATGAATTCCTTTTCCCAGAGCACTTTCCTTTCACATAGTATGTTTGTAAAGTATATGCTATTGGATCAATTTTTTGTAATTTCTGAATTTATTTCATTGAACATGTTTCTTAGTGATCATACTTATTCAACTATAGGATATAAATAAAACTAAACTCATCCAAAACAGGTTTTCCACTCCTTGGTTGTATACCCTCAGGAAATTAGTAAATAAGGCTTAGAATGCATAGGGTATTAGATTATATTTAAATGATTAATTATTATTGAACACTAAAGTATAAGTCAGAATAAAATTTAATTTCATCATTTAAATATATTTAATGTTAAAGAATGTTGCTTAGATTTGATGCTATCACATTTAGAACTGGGCATATAATTTTTTACAGTATTCTTAATAGCAGTACAGTGGGATATGTAGTTTATCATCAACAGTTTTGATGATTTACACATAATCTGAACATATATTGCATCAGTCTGTTTCTATTAGTTGAAATAATGCAGGTAAATTTTGCTTCATAGTGTTTTGTGAATTTTAATGTAGTGCTTTTGCTAAGTTCACAAGGCCTAATGTCAATACATATTAATAGACATTATGGACATGTAATGGTCTTTTCTTTGCATGGCTAATACACTTTGGGAGGAATCACAGGACCACTCTTTTAGAGTAGTACTACTGTTACATCATTGTGGACTAGGTGGGGCTGACCATTGTAGATATCTGTCTCAAATTACTCACCATCATTCAAGTTTAGGCTGTGACCCAAACAAGCATAATTGATCCTTCCTGGGATTATTTCCAGAGATACAATGAAAGATTCTGCCATTCCTTCATGACTATGACTGTGAGGACCTCCAATCCTGAGCCTAGGCTACAGGAAACTCCATTTAGTCAGACGGAGGACCTGACAGTAAATAAAAGGAAGCCACCACGCTGTTTTTTATCTATCTGAATCTAACAATATTTGGAAACACACTGTTAGGTTTTATAGTTATATGAAAACAATTTGAAACTAATAAGATTTTCCCTAAAACGTAGTGAAGTGTGCTTTGTAGTCCAATTGCATAGAATCAAACCAAGGCACTTTCATTTGCTAACTGTGACCTTGGACTAAGTACTTTAACCCTTTGCTTTTCAGCATCTTCCTCCGTAAGGACAAAATAAAAACATCAAGCTGCTATACTGGATTGTGTTAATTTAAATTGCGTGTGTGTGTGCATGTGTTTGTATGTGTGAGAGAGAACAATGCACACTGTCTGCTCCATAAATACCAGCATATATAAACTGCTATCCCAGTGAATAATATGCATGAGAAAAAAAATCCTTGGTTGCTGGGAATATAGTTCAGCAGCACAGTGCCTGCCTGGAAAGCATGAGATCAGGTCCTGAGTTCAATCCCTGGTTAAAAAAGAAAGAAAGAAAGAGAGAGAGAGAGAGAGAGAGAGAGAGAGAGAGAGAGAGAAAGAAAGGAAGGAAGAAAGAAAAAGAAAGAAAGAAAGAAAGAAAGAAAGAAAGAAAGAAAGAAAGAAAGAAAGAAAGAGAAAAAGAAAAACAACTTTGCTGCTCGGTGTGGTGGTGCACCAATGTTTAAAAAAAAAAAAAAAAAAAACCTGGTTAAGAATAGTGCATCTAAAGCAATCAACCAGTAGTATCAAAATTTATAGAACACTTAACAACAAAAAAATAGAGAAAATATAGGATATGGAAGTGAAATGGAGCTCAAGGAAAAATGACGAAATTCTTAGTAAAAAAAAAAAAAAAGGAATATTTTTAAAAATCCAAGATGTAAATTCTTACATTTGATGACACAAGCTAGTACAAAATGCATGAATCACTCAGTGGCCCAGACTTCTATTTATTTTAATTTTAAAATGGAATATTTGATTCTGGCAGTAAAATAAAAACTCTATGGGGAACACCAAACCAACAGATATTCTAAACTGGCAGATTTCTTATTAGCTATTTCAGTACTATGGTCATAAATTCACCTTAATTTTGTTTTCTAAGAGCAGCGTTAACACAATTATGTAATATTGTGATATTGTTTCCAATTTTCTGAAAATTTTGTACACGTAGAGCAGACATTTCTATAAATATTCTGTAACAGGTATTTAGTGGAATGTGGTTGTACTCTAGGGCTTTTAAGGTAAGTAAATTGATAATGTCTTCACACCAAATTCTTATATCAAAATTTAAAAATTAATTATATGGTAACAGCTATATTAAAATGATAATTTGTATTAAAATTGTTGTTTCCTTTTAAATGTAAGTGGTCAATTTCCAGGCATAAGTAAAGATGTAAGACTGTAAACTGGATAAAAAAATAATATGATAGAAAAAACAGAACAAACCCTCAAAACTTTCTGATTAGAACAGTATTTTTATGACCAACTACTTGTAAATGAATTCACCTGTTCTGTAAATCCTGGCCTCATTAAAACTCAAGGTAATTTTTATTACTTTTTCTTTAAAATAAATCATAGTAAATATGCTTTGGATTGGAAAGAGGAAAATATCATAAAAGACGGAAGGTTCCACAATTGTATAACACGTGATATGAACGAAATGAGTGAGTTTGAATAGTAATATCTCACTATGTAGTAGCAGCATAACTAAATAATTTAAAGAAATATTTGAGTAGTATAATCCATGTATTTCTCTGCTGTTGGGGTAATATATTTCTAAAATGCAAGGGTTATATTATATATAATTATGTGCACACAGCCATTATCACCAAGATCTTTTAAACCACTAGATAATTATTGTGATATTAAATTCACACACACACACACACACACACACACACACACACACACACGTCCAAAAAAATGCAAAGATTCTTTTTTTCTGTTTTTCTTTCAAATTCTCCTTGAGAAGAAATAGGCACATGTATTGAAGAGGAGTTTTAACAATGGCTCATTCTCCTTTGTTGTAAACGGCATCTTTCAGTTTAAAAAATCTCTAGTCTCTCTATTTAAAATTAAACTGCCTGTGAGACTCTTTTCCTTGTTAAACAAGTGTCAGGGTAAAGAGGAGATTTGTATTTCTTAAAGCATGGGGTAAAGATGTCTCTCATCTTGCCTGTTCCTTTCATCAGTGTTTGTCATAGGGAACCAAAAAGAGGACCAGAGTCCTTTTTACTCATCTTCCTATCAGTGCCTTATGCACCTCATGGTGGAGAGAGTTCGGCTTTTCAGGCTGCAAACTGTGTACAATGTAAAAGCAATTCCATTTTTCTCTTCCATCTAGCATCCGTCCTCCTGGTACTGGCCTAAAGAAAGGAAGTCAGGATGCAGGTATTTCACCTCTGCTCCCAGAATCTCTGTTGCATTCTCCTTCCTTTGTCCAAGATCAGTAAGAAAAGTTTCTCTTGCTCCTTTGACTAGGACAACAATTGCCCTAATGTTAGTATAATTTGGTTCTAGTCCCATCTTAGAGTAAAATCCTGTGGTCTGATTAGCAAGTTCTGGCCTCAAATAAGATGAGTAAATTTCTCTTTTCTAAGAGTGCTCCCATTCTGAACATAAAATATTAAATATCCACTCCTTTTTCCTTTTGGCATATTCATTGTAAAAATCAAAACTTTTGATTGTGGGAGAGTGGAGGAAGAGTGTGGGAGAGTGTGGAAAAGTGGAGGGTGAAGAATCACATATAACTAACTTTAAAGAGATAAAAAAAAAAATACCCATGTGTCATAGGCAGGGGTTGCAAGAGTAACAATCCCATACAGGACACGGAATTACCCAGAGTTAACACAAGAAGGTGCAGGAAATCTGTCCACAATGCTAAAGACCTAGAAAATCCAGCCAAGGGCCTGGAATCCCACAGCAGTGTCCTGCGTAAGTCCAGCTGAAGACTTAGAGCCTATGACAGTACCTCCCAAGAGTTCAGCTGGAGGCCTACAGCCCAC